CCTTTTGTAAGTAATCATTGAAACTGTCTCCCTCAGCAGACTCAGGTGCTCTCAGTCAGACTGATTGGTCAGCCACGCCCCCAAAAACAAGAACCTGCAAAACAAGAAAAGAGGAGGCACAACCTAACAGGCCACTGGGCTGTCACAAAACCAATATGGCCGCCGTTTTACCCGCCTGCACAGAGATAACCGTCAATCAGGGGCGCTGCTTGTCAACAGGTATGGCAGGCCTGCTTGGGGCCCCGGGCCAGTAGGGGGGGCCCTCCTTCAACCACAGCAGTGACTCAAACAATGACAGTAGGACACCTCCCTCAGGTGGCCCCAGCTGACAAACCTCACTCTTGTTGCCCCGTTACTGCTGAGTTAGATAATGAAAGTCAGCGGAGGAAAATCAAGACTTTTGTTTACCTAAATATATTTATATTACATTTATCTGTTGGTCTCAGATTGATTTTGACATAATGGTGATGAATGCCGGTCGGAGCTGGAAGTCTGCAGTTATTTTTCCTGCCGACATAACGTTCATGATCTGAGGGGGGAAGACAGACTAAACAGGCATACCTGTTGTTGCCATGGTGATTTGAGATGCTGTCTGTCGGTTTGTGCAGGTATGATCAGGAGGAGTCGGGGAAGCGGCTTGTGTGTGCAGTTTGTACGACCAAAATAACAAACATGACAGAAAATCATCTGCCCGGTCGTAAAGAAGCAGATCGGGCCGTGACCGGCCGTCATACCTCAGTGGAAACTGCACGACTAACGCTGCGTCATCAGGCTGAAATTTAACCTGACTTCAGGTCGAAATCGTCCTGAAATCATTCATTCAGGTTAGATATGAATACATTTGGGAAAGAATAAAAACATGTAAAGCATGCAATGAGCAGCGAGAAATTAAAATGTCTACTTAATAAATATCAGCAGGTAGAAATGAGACCTGACGCCTTTCTGTCTTCACCACTTGCACTCCGTCGGTCTGAGGTCTGAGGGTTTCTGATTTCTTCAAAATTAGCCACAAAGCTGAATGTGTTGACTGTGTTTTTGTTTGTTCCACATGAAGATGCAGCTGAACGTCAGCAGGAACACGCGTCTAGAACCTGAAAGCATGGAGAGGGGAACATTGGATAAGTGTCTGCACCGTGTGTTCACCGCTCACTCTTTAAGAGTCGTTTGTGTGAGACTGTGTGAGGCTGCTCAGGAGGTCCAATCTGCTACTGATTACACCTGTGGAGGTAAGGACCAATAAGGAGCCTGCAGAACAAACAGAGCTAAAAATAAACTGTGTCAAATCGGTTTCATTCTTACATGAGCACTCATAACAGATGTTTTGTACTACAGGTTGTATTTTTGTTTATTTTGATTGGAAACCTGCATGAAAGGAGACTGCAGCCGCCTCAGGATCGGGTTATAGAGAAGAGAAGATTCAGCTCTCAGATGCTGAAGTTTAAAAAAGACAAAACACTCACTTGTGCAACATCATCATCCTTTGCAATACTGTTTAAAAAACCTCCATGGACTAGTGCAAGTGAGTTATTTTGTAATGCAGCAGTAAACACTTTTCAGGCTCTTATGAGAAACTTAATGTACAAATGTATCTGTAGATTGAAGGATTCTCAGAATTCCATCATTATGCTGTTGACTAATCCCAGTCATAGTTCTGTGTGATACCCGTCATCCTTGTGGTGACACTGGTACAGTTGTCTTTTATAATATTGGTGATGTTTTGTCTGTCTGTGTTTTTATTTTGCTTGTTTTTTTTATATGTTTTCTAATGGACTCCTGAGTCTGACACTAAAGATGATGATGATGATGATTGCATGGAGGAAGAATCAGAGACAAAGCAGCACTGATTTGCAGTTTCTTTGATGACCACATGGAGTCAGAGTCACACAACAAACACACAGCCGTGCTCTCACGCTCACAGGACGCCCGTTGGATTACAGCAGTGGAAAAATGTCCCTGGTATTATTTTTGTCTGAAATCCATCATCCTCTTTGAAGTGCACGCCTCTAAAGTTATGCTTTGGTACAATTTCACCGTCTTTGATCCTTTGTCATCTGCAGCTTCATACAGTTTCACAATTAGTGTCTCACACACGTTAAGTGTGATGGGAGGAGAAAGGACGCCGCTTTGATAATACAAACATGAATCTGAGGACACGGGGAAATGAGATGTTGAACTCTGATTGTATGAGGTGTGGCGTTTCTCTTTTCTTTCCCGCTCTCACTTAAACTCTCACAGATCAAAGAGCATGATGCAGCCCGAGTGAAACACAACGCAACGGCTCCAAACTCTCAAGTTATGACCTCAACAGAGTCTGAGGGGGACCAACTCTTTTTAAACGTGTTTTGTAGCTCTGAAAGTTTTAAAGGTCTCATATTCTGATAAATCTTCTTCTCCATGTTCCTCTAATATGTGTCTGGAGTCCGTCTACAAACCCAACAATGATGAGAAAATTCCATCCTCTCCGTCTTCTGCCTGCTCCACTTTTCAGAAAATGTGTGCT